ACAACTCAGAAACAGCTGCCCGACGCACACAGGGCCCCTTTTGTCTTTTGTTTGCTCAACAGACACTGGGATTCTCAGCGGGCTGTAAAAGAATTCGTCACATCCCACTTGCAGTAAACCCAGCGTCCCCTGAGTCGGAACAGATGAGGAGAGGCAGTTATGAAACAGAAAACAGCAGCTTCCAGACTGAAGGAAAGATCAAAAAAAGGGAATTACTTCGCTAACTTAAGTGCTCAGTGTTTAAAAAAAAAAAAAAAAAAAAAAAAACACAATTATTGTTTTTAAAAAAAAAAAAAGAGTACATTGATTGTTTCTGGAAACCACCACCAATGTGTGGAGGCAGCCAAGAACAGGATTCCCATGGCCAGGATTTATTAATAATTTATTAATTATTTTTCCCATGGTTTGTATCTGTTACTGAAAGAGACGTGTGCTCAGGATGCTCAAGAATTCCACGAGACACTGGTAGACACAAAACAACCTAGGGCCTTTTGCCCACATGCACTTGATTAGTGAGCCTTTCTACAGGTGACTGGTTGCACCTGCACAGCTCCAGGCCAATTCTATAACCCCACTAGAGGGAAAAACAGAAGTAGCCAAGCTGGATGACAGCAAGGGCCACCTTGCCCCTTACACCGATGCCACAAAACCAGCTATCACCACTTCAGAGATGGATGTAAGCTCCTTAGAGTTAGTCGAGATGGGCAAAAAAACAGAAACAAGTTTCTTCTGGAGTTCTCCCTAGGGGGAATCAGCCTGTGTCCTTCGACAAGAGCATCAGCTACTGCTGGCTGACTTCTACTGACCTTGAAGTTAATGATACAAGGCTTAAAAACCTTAGAGAAGGCAGAGATATGGCAATGGAGAATGCAATGAATGGCAGCTAGGAAAGAAGTAGTGGAGGGCAGTGGAACAAAAAAAAAAAACCCAAAACCAAACAAATATACATTCCAGAGAAGGCTGTGGAAGAAAGGGAGACCTAAGCAATGCATTAAAAACAGTAGGAAGAGGTAGGCTGAGAAGGTGTAGGAGACCCCACTTGCAGGGCTGGAAAATGGAACAGGGCAAGCTGAAAGGCCTGCAGAAATAGGACCCCATCAGAAAAGACAAATTCAGGGAGTCCTGATCTGCTTTTAGGCTGTTTCTGACACCTGCAGTTCCTGGCTCTTAGCTGTTGGACACTAAAACTAAATTGTGTGCAGTGTTTCGTAAAGGGTAGTAAAAATTTAAGACAGGCTCACAACTTGTACTGCTGCTTGATCACAAGAAGATCTTATCTCAGTGAAAAGCTTTTTATTCAAAATTACTTCCAGTCAGAAGCATGTGTCAAATGGGCACAAATTTAGCACGGACAGCATGGATCTCCTCTTACTTAAAGGGAGCTACTCTCCCTCTACTGCTCACACACACACACTTTCTGAGCACAGTGTAGCAATGTGGGAGCCATAAACCATTCCTAGAAATGGACTTGAAGCATACCTAACACATCTATTTCTCTCGCTGGCTTCCTGATAAGGCAGAAACACCATTAGATAGAAAGCAGCCACTGTGAAGCGACAGTAGAGCCTAACATGCTGTACTCCTGTCAAAGCCTC